TTTAGGTTGCTCTAACAAAAATTTCATGGACTGGATGGCTTATAAACAGCACAGATTTATTTCCCACAGTTCTGGAGGTTGGGAAATTCAAGATCAAGTTATTGGTGGATTCAGAGTCTGACAAGGGCCTGTTCGTGGATGGTCATCTTTTCACTGAGTCCTCACATGGCAGAAGGGAAAAGGGAGCTCTCCGGGGTCTCTTTTATAAAGTAACCCCATTCGTGAGGCCTCCTCCCTTATGACCTAATCATCTCCTATAGGTTTCAAACCCAAAAAGCATCACATTGGGGATTAAATTTCAACATATTAATGTAGGTGGGAAACAATAACATTTAGTGTATAACACTCCATTCTATTGCCTCCCTATCTCCTGCCAAATTAATGTCTATCAGTCCATTAGGGCTCTTATAACAAAGAACCACAGACTGGGTAACTCATAAACAACAGAAATTTATTTCTCATAGTTCTGGATACTGGAAGTCTGACAACAGAGTGCCAGCATGGTCAGATGGAGAGTGGGCACTCTTTTGGGTCATAGTCTTATCATTGTATCTTCATATGGTGAAAAGAGCTACAGAGCTCTGTGGAATCTCCCTTATAAGCATTAATCCCATTCAAGAGAGCTCAACTCTCATGACCTAATTAACTTTCAAAAAACCTACCATCATATTTAGGGATTAGAATTTCAACATATGAATGAGAATTGAGGGTATACAAACTTTCAGACCATAACAACATTCTTCTCACATGCAATATATATTTAATCCATCTGAGGAGACCCAAGTCTTCACCTGTTCCAGCATCAACTCAAAAATCGAAAGTCCAGAGTCTCATCTAACAATCATCTGAATCAGATATGGATGAGACTCAAACTGTGTTTAATCCTGAGGCAAAATTTCCCTCCAACTGTGGACCTGGGAAACCAAACAAATGTGCTTTCAAAAGACAATGTTGGGATAGCAGTGGAGAAATAGGAAAGAAATAAGGAATGAAAGGTTCCAGGTAGGCCCATAACCTAATGGGATAAACAGCCTTAAACTCTAAGGCTCAACAAAAGTCTTTGGCTTGATGTTTCACCCTGTGGACCCACTAGAACTGCAGTTCACCTCCACAGCTCTCTTGGGCTGGAATCACACTCCACTGGCTCCACTGAATATCACATTAGAAGGGGATTTCTGTGGTGATACTATGTAATATTTTTTATATACTGCAGGGTTCTATTTGCTGATATTTTGTTGATGATATTTTCAATCTATATTTATAAGATACTGGTCTTTAGGTTTTTTTTTTATTTCTTGTGATGATTGTGTCTGGTTTTGGTATCAGAGTAAATACTGACCTCATAGAATGTGCTAGGACATGCTATTTTTTGGAACAGTTTGTGAAGAATTTTATTAATTCAAAATTAAATATTTGCTTAGAATTCAACAATGAATCACTTCGGGCTGGAATTTGAGGGAGGATTGTTTTTTAATTACTAATTTAATCTCTTTTTAGTTTTATTCAGTCTTTATATTTCTCTTTGATTCATTTTTTCGTAGGTTGTATATTTCTAGGAATTTGTCTACTTCATCTAATGACTATTAGTATACAATTGTTTATGTTTCTTTATAATCCTTTTTATCTCTGTAAATTTCCTACTTTGTTCCTCTAAAGAAGTATTATCTAATTTCATTTCTGATTAATAATTTGCTTTAATTTCATTACTGTCTTCCTTCTATTTGCCTTGTTTTAACTTACTCTTCTTTTTCCAGCACTTTAACTGGACAGGTTAGATCGTTTCTTTGAGATCTTTCTTCTTTTTAAATTCTATCTTGATGTATGCACTTACTATGGCACATTTCCCTTTAAGCATTGTTTTTGTTGTATCCCATAAGAGACTCTGCATATTTTCTCTTTCTACTCAAAATATTTTCTAACTTCTTTTATTTCTTCTTTGATTTATTGGTTATTTAAAGTATGTTGTTTAATGTCTGCATATTTATGAGTTTCTCACAATTTCTGTTATTGTTTTCTTATTTCATTGCAGCCTGAAAACATAAAGTTGTCTCACTCCTTGATAACACCCAGATGATATACTTCCCTAATTGCTCACTGACTGTTCTATCATTTTAAACCATGCCCAGGGTCATACACTGCTTCAAATACCAAACTCATTTAATTTTGGATCCTTTGCACGGTTAGTAGTTATTGAGATCATTGTCAGAGATTTGTTTTGACTCTAGGAGGACTATTCTTCTTTGTCTGTTTCCTTGATTTTCTCTGGTAAATTAGCTGACCTGAGACTCAGTTTATATATTTAATGAAGTATTTCTTCCTATTTGCTTTTTACCACACCTTCATTGTTTTTGAGAATGCTCTTATACTTGAACTTCCCCAAACTATTTCCTTGGGAAGAGCGTTGGAGCTCTGTGTCATATAGTTGTTTCTCCTAATTGGTAAAACCTCTGAACGTTAGCTCTGTTGCTCAGGGTGGAAACCAGTAACATGCTTCTCTTGAGTGACATGCCTGCTTTGGGGTCTGGGCACTGGGGAGTTGTGGGTCTAGTCTCTCAGATTCTCAGCTTGCTTCTCATTGTATCAGAACTGTGCCTTAAAACAAGCTGAATTGAAAACAATTAAGGCTCAGTGTGCTCAATCCAAGGTAGAGGTCCCCATGAGTGGGCCTGGTAGAAAAAAATGAACTCTGTCTGCTTGGCCACACTTGCTAGGAGCTTAATCTCAGGGCAGGTATGTGGGGGATTGGATGAGAAATTCTGAAGTCCTCTTGCTCCTAGAAATACGCTATAGCCCTGAACTGAGACCTAGCAGAAGTCCTGTGTTGTTGATTGTATCCATCTTAAGTGGAGTGTTTGTCAAAATAGGCAGAGAGAAATAGACATAAGAATGAATCATGGTTCAAATGTAAAAGACTCTCACTCTTCTCACTGAATTTCAGTAGATTTTCTTCAACAAATGTTTCTTCATTTTCTATATACTATTATGACCATTTCAAAAGACCTAGATGGCTGGCTGTTCTATAATTTTCACCAGTTTCATAAAGGAGCAGATACACAGAGTTCTTTACATAGCTGTTCCAGAAGAGGAACTTCTATGTTTATTTTTTTATGCAGAAAAATTCAGGAAGATTGTTTGCTTTCTCCTTCCAAATCGTGACCTCAGGTCTCAGCTTCTATAACAAATTGGCTTCCCCAGGTATTTTCTTCTCCAAGAAAACTCTCTGGTAGACAAGCAAATACATTTTGATATGTTCTACATTTTTAAATTTAAAACATTACTCCATGGTTAAATAATTAACAGTACTAAGATCAATATAAACCCTCATATTCATTTTGTGAAAATAATCTGTTAGTTCAGAAACACCCATGATATATTAAGTGCACATAATGCTTTTAAAAAAGAACTAGATTATATAATTTCCCTAGACAGATAAGATACATGACTTTTTTGTTTTACCCAACTGTCATCTTTTGATTTTAATGCACAAATTACTACTAACCTTTTGCCACCTTATTTCCCCAATCATTCAGGTTTTTATTATTTTTATATTATTAATGCCATCATTTATAAGTGTATCGAATGGCACTTACCTAAATACAAAGGATGTTCATTCCCAATTATTATCCTTTAAAAAGTGCAAAATTACTTAGAAAGATACATTTTTCTTTTTAAATAAGAGCCCAAAGTTCTAATACTCCTTAAAACTTTAGCATTTGAAAAACACTTTTTTCATTTATTATTAGATATAAAATGACCCAGAATACAGCAAAATTAATTGGATATAAAGCCAAATCTAAAACAATGTAATTTTTAAAACTATATAATATTTTCAGTTATATGTACAATCTCTTATTGCTGACTTGACCTTTTATTTTCAGATTTATATCCAGACTTAAGACCTTAATTTCTACTCCCTCAGCAAAGGATATAATTCTGACTAAAAGTATGAGATAATTAAATAGCTCCTGACATCCAACTCTCATGATAGTAGTATAAGACATTCCTCTGAGGAAACAACTTGAATATTTTCTGGTAAATGTTACTTTTTCATGTAGGTGGAGGATTTAATTTTCATAACAAGTTCTCACATATCAAAGGTATTTTAATCTTCCCGTAAGAGTGTGTCCTTGGATGCTATACTATATGCCAATATTTATACATGTAGAATGTACTTAACATTCATTTAAGTCACATAGCTAATATGTTTATGTTATTTATAGCTTCTGCACTAATTCTAGTGGAGTTTAGTAGTAAGTGTGCTGAAAAGAAAAGATAATGTCAGAATAAGGTAAAACAGAAGATGGAGGAAATAACTGGCGACAGGCACTGGGGCAACAGTCTCATATCATAGTTCCAAGTACTGTGTTAGTTTATCAGGCTCTTGTGAACTGACAACCAGCCAATTCAATTGACAAGAGAGGGAACAGAGCCAGGAGAGTAAGGAGTAAGTGGGTGGGTTTTTTTGTTTGTTTTTTGCTACTGTTGTTTTATTTTCAGGAAGAAATATTGTACTCACAGGAAGTGTACCAGGAGTATAAATAAGTTCTAGGGATGGGGTCAGAAAGAGGTAGGTAGAATATCAGCACCCTGGATATGCAATGGCTGCTTATTATTTTGTGGGTCCAGGAGGCACCTATTAAGAAGCAAAGAAGTAAGATTTATGTGAAGTCTGCAGTCATGCTGACATCCAATAGTGGAGTTTTTGCTAGGTAACACTCGAGACTGAGAAACTTTCAGATTTGACTGAAAGCACTATGAGAACTTATACTGTAACATATGTTTTTAGTTGAATGTTTTCTTTTTCAAAGTAATTGTCATGTGAACTTATGCACTACTTTTTAAAAAATCATGACCATCATCTCTTTGAATATAATATTCTCATGGAGTTTCCTGCTATATTCATGACATAGTTTTAGAGTACAGGTTTATCTCACATTGTATTAAGTTTTTATTTAAAATCATGAAACAACATAGTAATATATTTAAAAAGCGTGACTGGTAGCACTTGTGTTCATTTTCATTTAATATGTGGGCAAAGACTACATACAGGTGTGAAGAAGAAATCTTTTGCAACACAGAACTCATTGTTCAGTATGAGTTTTGATACATATAAGAAGAAACATGACAAAAAATCTAAAAATAGTGTGACTAGTTGAAATGTGTGTGATAAACTGGTTTTATACTTTTTAAGCTCTTAGTTGGGGCTTAAGAGCATGAGTCACAAAACCAATATTCTATGTCTATTGTGCAATTGTAGAAGAGCAACTTTTTGAATGAGACCACATGAAGAACACCAAAAAGAAAAAAAAAAGTATGATGATTACCAAGATTTCTACCCTAGAGAATAGTATCAATCCCTTTAGCTAATACTGTAAAACAAAAGTCTGAAGTCATTTCCTGGCTCACCACCTTTCCTAATGACTTCCCATTGCCCCGAAGAGAACTTCCCACATTAAATGCCTTTTATCACGTGGCCTCTGCCTCCCTCCCCGTCACATGCCTTTACTGGTCAACATGACCCAGTGACAGTCGTCCTCTCTCCATTTCTCTAAGCTACTCCACACATTCTCTCTCTTCAGGGCTTTCCCCCTTGTTCTGTCTTCTTCTTGGAACACTCTTCCAATATATATGTTTGCTATCATCTATTCACCTTCCAAATCAACTCAATTACTAATTTTTCAAGAAGGCCTTTTGTGATCTCAGACTAGCATAATTTTTGCTGTTATATATTTCCATAGCAATGTGGACTTCTCTTTAACATTCAACATGGGATAAACTGTTTGCAATACTATCACTTTCATGGGGACCAGAAAAGCGGCTTTTTATTCACTTTTGCATCCCAAACTATATATTCCTCCCGATTATGTAGCCACATATTTGTTAAACTAAATTGAAATTTTTATTTTTTCTCTATAGCGCTGCATAGATACTTCCTGTTCAGTGAAATTTTGACTTCCATACACTAATTATTTAGTTCTAATTTATATAGTTTAAACATCTCTCATGGAGCAATGCTATTTCTTTAAAAAGGAAGAGTAAAATATATTTTATAATAAGTAAAAAACCTCACAGATTCTATTTACACATGCTTGTGTTAGATACTTTAATTGTGTCATTTCATTTAATCTTCCATGAAATCTCATGATATGAGAATATTATCTATGTTTTCATAGTTAATCATTGCTAAAGAGCACAATTATTAAATGGCACTCAGGTTTCCATAATGTCACATTTTCTTTTTTTCCTTTCAGGAAAAATTTGCCAAATTGTGGAGAAATAAAACATTTTCATTTGCTATTATTTCTGTTATCTATTGATGCATAATATACTTTTCACACTTAGCGACATAAAACACCATTTTATTATTATTATAAATTTTTTAAATAAAGAATTTGAACACAGTAATGACTGCACTGTATTTTGCAATATCTGGGAAGTTGTAGGTGTCTAGGGATGAGTTGAGTATGAGGAAATAGAATAATCTGGAGGCTTTTTAAAAAGATTTTATTTATTTATTTTTTAGAGAGGGAAGGGTGAGAGAAAGAGAGAGAGAGGGAAACATCAATGTGCGGTTGCAGGGAGTCATGGCCTGCAACCCAGGCACGTACCCTGACTGGGAATTGAACCTGCAACATTTTGGTTTGCAGCCCGTGCTCAATCCACTGAGCTACACCAGCCAGTGCAATCTGGAGGCTTTTAATAAATACTGAGGTGACATTGTTTAATGAAACTATATAGGTTTCAAGTGCACAATCCTATCATATGTCCTCTGTGTATTATATTGTGTACCCACCACCCAGTGTCATATCTCTGCCCATCATCATGCATTTGACCCCCTTTGCCCTTGACTCCCCCCCACAACCTCTTTCCATCTGCTCACCACCATACTGTTGTCTATGAGTTTTTTGTTTGTTTCTCTTTTTTGTTCATTAGTTGCTTTCAGTTTTATATTCCATATATGAGTGAAATGATCTGGTTCTTGACTTTTTCTGATTTATTTTGCTTAGTATGATATTTTCAAGATTAATCAATGTTGTTGCAAATGGCAATATATCATCTTTATGTATGACTGAGTAGCATTACATCATATATAAATACCACATGTTTATCCAATCATCTGTTGAAGGACATTTTGGTTGTCTCCGTATATTGGCTACTGTGAATAGTGCTATAATGAACATGGGCATACATCTTTGTGTATAGATGTTTCCAAATTTGGGGTGTAAATACTCAAAAGAGGAGTGGATGGGTAATATGGTAACTCTATTTTTATTATTTTGAAGAGCCCCATACTATTTTCCATCGTGGCCAAACCAGTTTACATTCCCACCAGCAGCAAATGAAGATTCTTTTTCTTCACAATCTCTCCAGTGCTTGTCTTGTTGATAATAGCTATTCAAAGGCAGCTATGAATTGATACCTCACTGTTTTTCTGATTTGCATTCCCCTAGTATCTAGTGAAGTTGAGCATCTTTTCACATATGTTAGCCATTTGTATGTTTTCTTGGGAGAAGTGCCTGTTCAAGTCCTCTGCCCATTTTTAATTGAATTGTTTGTCTGTTGGATGTTCAGTTGTCTTAACTTACACTATTCCACCCAAGATGGGATCACTTAAAAGCTGAGCTCAAAACTGTTGACCAAGAATGTCTGAATGAGGCCTCTCACTGTACCTCAGACTTCATCATAGCATGCAAGCATAAATGTTGCTGGGCTTATTACATGGCAGCTGAAGGCTCCAAAAGTAAGTATTCCAGTAAGTAGGTACATGGCCTTTTATGACTTAGCCTCACAATTCACATAGAATTAATCTACCCATATTTTATTGGTGGAAGCAAACATAGTCAGGTCAGCCTTCAAGGGAAAAAACACTGTGTCTACCTCTTAATGTGAAGACTTTTAAAGTACTGGTATATGTGGTCACATGTAAAATTTGCCACATTTAACTTCCCCTTTAAAGAGATAATAAAATTATTGTCAGCAGTGGAATCAGGGTTTGAACACTGCCTGTTAATGCCACATATGCATTTTTATCATCTTCCTGTCATTAATATATTTTTGAAAAAGAATGAAAAGGTAAAGGTTATCTTTTATTTCTTTGCAAATTCCCTGTCATACATAACCTGTTTTTTGTCAATCAATAGGATATGTTACAAAGGGAACTCAAAAATAAGTTTTTAGAGAACAGAAAAAATATATAACTTTTTCAGTCCAAGGTAATGAGAAGACATTCAAATATTAATGAGGTTTAGAGCTATTGCTTTTAAAAATTGTCTTTTAATTTTATAAAAAGAATAAGAATGACTGTCCACAGATATCACTCATAAATTTCCTCCGTATATCTTCTAGAAGATGTGGGCATCTATGAAGCTACTCTGGATTTCAGAGAAAAAAAATAGAAAAAGTAAGAGTTTTGGGAAATGGATGGTAAAACAATATTAAATTTAATTACTATAAAAATAGATGATTCATTACTTGAAAAATGAGGGTGTAGTTCTAATTTCACTAGTCCATTGGTAATGAAACTAAGATTGGGTGATTTTAAATATGGCATATTTAAAATGATCTTCTAGAGATGTTATATGCAGAAATATTATGTGTTACCAATTTTCCCAAGAAAATAACACCAAAGCAGGCTTGTAATGGGTAATTAGAATATTCCTAATCCTTTTAATATCCTCTAAAACAGTTTCTGTTGAAAATCAGAGTTTTAATATTGAACTAGATTATATTTAGATTTTTAAAATGTAAGGACTCTTAAATCGCCTTAAGTAAATTGTGACATAATGCGATTTTAGTTACACTCAGTAGTGTAGTTTCATCTTGATTAAAATCTTTATAAATAAAAAGTAATCACACCCTGATGATCTTCCCCATATTTATTTAGTTTGAGGATCAGTTTAGTTATTGTGATTACCTTTCAGGAAAAGGAGTATCACCTACCCAGACCTACATTATTGTCTAAATAACAGCTAGAAGTTTAATTTGCATGTTTATTATCCTTGACATTAAATCAATATAATGAAATGAATTTAATAATGTAAAACTATTTTTTTTCTGTTTACAAGTTTGTCACTCCTTGGAGCTGACCCTAGTAAACTACAGAAAGGATACTTCTAGTTAGTTTTGGGAAGTGCATCTAAATTATTTTTTTCTGAAATTTTATGAATAGCAATGATCTCTTACAGACTTAGTGGGAGCCTAGATACTTCTACCTTAAACTAGAATTTAAAAAGTTATCTGAAGAATGTTAATTGTATATTTACCAAATATTTTACATTATAATTGCCACTGATCATATCTATTATTTTCATGCAAGGAAATAGTTAAAAGTCAGCTCAGGGTAAAACCATCTTTCTCAGAACTATCATTGTGTCTATCTTCTTGTTTCACTGCTCCATCCTCTCTCTTTTAGGTCATATCTCTTGGGTTTCTACTGCAGCTCTTTGTAGTCCCTTCTCCTGCTGTCTTTGGAAATGTGTTCTGACTGTCCTACTGACCTCTGTTCCCAGCAAGCGCTTCTTATTTCTAACTAGCCGGCCATGCTTAATTTCATGACCATCCGGACAACTGCATGACACTAGCACATACTAGTTTCTACTATTTTGCTCTCAAAAACTTCAAATAATAGAGTTCTCTCCTTTTTTTTTCATTTTCCCATAAGGATATAGATTTAAGACTTTTTAAAACTAAGAGTAACCACACTTCACTGTAAGGGTAAAAAAACTACAGTGCATAATCATTGTAGGTAAGATAACATAGAATGGACAAGTTTCACAATACAATGTGTCATGCAAATCCCTAATAGTCACTCTAATAGTAACTGTACTACTTGATGGTGAAAAGTGATGAAAGAAAATTGAGCAACTTTATTTCATGATTCTTGTATGCCATCATAAATATAAAGTCCTTCAGTTCTGTTAAATAAGAAACCAATGATGATACTGCTTTCTGAAAACCATCTGTCCATGTTCATCTATATCAACAAACTCTGGCCAATTTGCATTAGCACAAGCTGTTATTCCTGCCTTTGCCAATGTTTAACAACGTTAGATGATTTTTACCTCTTCTCAGGCAGCATACAGGGTGGGCAAAATTAGGTTTATAGTTGTGAGTATGCAAATCAC